AAAAATAGCTCTAAATTAGGGTTTTGACAATAACAAGTTTTTATTTCAATAGGTAAAATGTTTTTTTTTTTAGGTCAAACTTATTTTATTATAACAACTGATGATATAAGGTAAATACATGCAAAAAAATTGGGAACCAGTGCATTGCCTAATAATTTTCATATGGCACACCACTGATGTTTCGGACGTTACACACTGTTAACATTATAACTTTATTCAAGTTTATTGCTTTTCTTTAGGTATTATTGACCTCAGTTACATTAATTGTTTGCAGAAAAATACTTCTGTAACATTTATGGAAAAAAAATTGTGCAGTTTTAATTAGTTTAGCACATACATGTATACCAAGTTTGTCTTCATCGACCACTCAATTTATGTAAGGTATATTATTCATTTCAAGAATGTGTACCGGTAGTTAAAAATGCTTATGTGATCTAACAGAGTGAAATATGAAGCTAATAGCAATTGTAGTCATCAAAACTCCTTAGAAAATTCACTTAGAAACATACTCTTTATTGCATGTTATGAATAGACAACAGTGTGAAATGTATAATATGGTTTGTTTCGGATGTTACACGATGTTAACATTTCAATGAGATCATCAATTTCTACAAACTCTACAATATAGATGTTTAATCAGCTTGCTAATGTTTTTTGCCTCCAACTATATAGTGTGTCATTCAATAATATCACTAACACATACATGTATGTAAGCACTGAAACATTGACAAATCTTTAAAAAAATAAAACTATAAAAAAGTACCCCCAGTCATGTACGGTATTTTTTACGGTAATACGAAATAAGTGAATCCTAATGTATGTACATCTCGAGAATGAGACATTTTTGATGTATTTTAAAATTGTGTATGTTTTAGGTTATAATACTACTGTAGTAACAATCATCCTTTACCACTATTTGTATTAGGAGGCTGTTTCAAACGACAATATGTTTTAATGCTCTTAAATAAGTATTCATTTATTTATTTAATTGACGACCGATTGATGAATGGATGGATGGATTGATTGGTTGGTCGGTTGGTTGGTTGATAGATCTTAACTCTTGCTGTGCCTATATTACAGGTGACAAACAATATACAGTGTAGGTTAAACATGTACCGTATTTGCCAGCGATAAGGCCGCAGCGCCGCACCCCCAACTTTGACATTTCGTAGAGGAAAAAAAAAACGGACGGCCCATTTATATTTCACACTAGTGTAGGGTTGCGGTTCTAACAGATAATTACTAGCACTCTTAACACAGAGGCAGCCCAGCAGACATGTTGTAGGATTGATAACTACTAGCTAACTGACCAGGTTTTAATGTGTAAAAGCATTACAGCATTCTATGTAGCATTCCACATACATTCCATGCAAAGTAGAATAAATCAATAAATATTCATATAGTCCCATACGAATATAAATCAACATCACAAAGTATTCCTGAATATTCAAACATAAACAAAGGGTATATATTGAATATTCATAGTATATGTAAATTATACTACATAAGCTTGACTGCATCAGGTGAACATTGAAACCAATGAGAGAGAGAGAGATAGACAGATGAAAGGATGGTGGATGAAAAGGGTGAATGTGAATGAGGGATGACCTATTAATATGAAAGGGATGAATCATGGATATGAAGGGGAGTTTCAGAAGTTCAAAATAAATCCCTACACTAGCTTATACATGTTGTATGTATGCATACATTTGAGGAAGATACTACATGTATATGTTAAGGATCATTAAATAAGGTATTACTGGTAATGCCCTTTTCTTTTATACATGTATGTACTTTCTACACAGATTAGTTACGTGTACTGAGTGCCCTTTTTAAAAGGTATTTTTAAATGAAAATCCATATTTCCCATAAATTTTTAGAAAAACATTTTAATTTGCTTGATTTTATCAACTTCATATACCTGTATCATATCCATGTCATGACCATGCACACTGGGTATTGCTTAAGTGGGTGATTTTGATTTTTGTAACCTACCAGATAGTTTAGATTGACCATACAATCTTTGGTTATATGACATAATTTGGAACAACCTCTGTAAAAATGAAAACGTGATGATTTGCAAAGACACAGCAATGTAAATAGCAAAAGGAGAGGTTGAACAAATAAAATTTGCTATTCTCACATCTATCTTTGCCCCCCATTTGAACTAGTTAAAGTATGAAAATGTCTGTTAACAGTTTAATGTAACATCCAAAACGTGCTACAGCATATAAACAGAAAGTGCTGTTAAAATGGCTGAATAATTTTTATGAGTCACTTTTATTGAGATTGTTTCTGATAAATTACAATTAAGGATATACTAAAGCAGCCAGGAATGCCTTGCACCACAAAGTGTGGCTTCAATATTTATGTTTTATAAGTCAATTTTGCAGAAAATTTAGATATTTTACGGAAAATTTGATTTTTTGCATCATATTTCTTCATATTTTTATATTTAGATCTAAATGAAATTATCAAAATAGTGTTTTTAACAAGAGTGTGCATTGTGAAATCGTAACTTGCACATATGATAGAAAATTAGTTGAAATTTGCAAACTATGTGTTAACAATCAAATAGTGTAACGTCCGAAACACCCTTCTTGAGTTTACACAAAATTATTGGATTTGAAAGACCTGATTTGTGTTTTGACTTGTGTTAACACTTATAATAACTTATTTCATAATGATTTATTCACTCTAGATACCTTAAAATATGGATTATTATCATTTTATTGGTATTTTTTGTTTCGGACGTTACATTTGTTTCGAACGTTACAACTGTTAACGGAAAATTGGTTTTAACTATAAAATAGTATTGTAGTAATATATTGCAGATTTCTTTGTTTTGGTGAGTAGCTGCCATGAGAAGTTAACAAAATGTTTTGATAGATATATCCTGCTGTTCATATATTTTCTGCTACTTCAACTTGAAAATTGTTTCGGACGTTACAAAACTGTTTAAATTTTAAGTATATTTCTAACATAAGCGCTACTATAATTAAATTATATTTTCTTTTAATATAATCACTTGGAGCAACTAATAAACTTACTCAAACCATATACAATCTCATTAATTTGTTGTTAAATGAGGGTCTACATTGTTAACGGAAAATGTAACGTCCGAAACGACATTTTCAATTGCACTTTTCCATTAAAATAGGGGAGTTGATTCAGATTACTGTTAAGTTTCTTTAAGATCCACTCATGCTCATTAATTATCAATAGAAAAAAAACATATTGTTTGTGGCTATATATTTTTTTCAGCTCCGACCAAAATGGCATGTCAATTTTGTTACAAAATTCCGTAAACAATTTGCTGTTCAGGGATACCTCATGCGCATAAAGCAACGATGAAAATTTTTCGTTAAGCTATGGGAGGTTAACCTAGGTCCATGCTACTAGAAAAAGTTGTTACTGATTTCTAGTTCTTTATCTTTGGAAAGTTTCAGGCTCTCAAAGGGCCATTTAGTATTTGGTCATAGTTAAAAAAAACCAGTGCCATGTGGTAGTGAAACTGTTGATGGTCAAGTGGTCGGAGGCATTATGTTTTCTGGTTGGTTGTCCGTTCGTACGTCTGTGCGTCCCGTTCTCGTGATCACACTATCATTAGAACCAGTAGACGGATCTTGCAGAGCTTATAAGCTGATTAGATTTTGGGGTCACGATGTCAAAGGTCACAGGGCTCATTATGTATGCATACAAATAGCCTGTGAATGCATTATAATTAAAACTGACAGATGGATTACTATCAAACTCAGGACATGTATTTATCTTGCAGAGCCATGTATATGCAAAATAGCTTGTAATCATGAAATTCTGAGAACCTGTAAATGGATTACAATAAAACTTGAATATTAAAAAATGCTTCCGTTTTGGTTTGTAAAATTGCTCTATAGCACGCAGTCAAAGTTCCATCTAGTCTTATATAGCGCCCAGATCAGCACAACGGCTGCCATTTAGTACATTGTATACGCCCTGATTGGTTAACCAATTAATCAGAGCAAACAAAGCTGTATGTAGTCGGCACTAAATTACATAATCTTCACATCTTCACATGCCCCATAATCGTTAGTCGCAGACAGTATTCGTAATGATAGTGATGACTATGATGAAAGATTTTGATATAGGTTATATTTACAAACTGTCAGTATAACATTAATTTCATTTAGTCCATTTAAAATAAGAAAAACAAAAAGCTCAAGTTTTATTGTCTCGTCGCCTCCGTAGCAAAAAGCGAGACGTAGGCGCTGTTATTCTGATGACGGCGGCGGCGACGGCGGTGTCAACGTCAACATCAAAAACTTAACCAAGGTTAAGTTTTTGAATTTTTAATATAGTTTTGAAAGTATTTAAAAGGGTGTTCGGAGGTACCAAGTGTAGGTAATTTTACTAATGCTCGAACAAAATGATGTGTATTATTTGTTTTGAGAAGAATGGAAAAATTGAAATTAAAAAAGGTATAATATTTTGAAAGCCAGATGAAACACAAAACGGCAACTCAGTCTTGTTAGTATTTTTTTTATATGGTGGAAAATAATGACTGTGTCTCTGAATTGATGCAGGCTTTTAGACTACTGGTAGACATTTTAGATAAAAAGGTCCTAATGACAACCTCCTCCCCCAGTTCAGATACCTTCATGTAGGGTTCAAGTCATTTTAATCATCTCGCTTATGATTGTCGTCTCCTGCACTTTTTCAACAGATAGTTTGGATAATACTTTGAATTGATAATAATATGTTATAGAAATATTAAATTTCGTTATTTTATGTACATATGTAAAAAAACAAAAACATTTTGACATCAAGTTATTATTGTTTGTATATACCTTATGTTCATATGTTCTTTGTTATTTGGTTATTATATTACGAAAAATGCACGAATAAAATCCCCCAAAAAATCAAAACACTCAACGCCTTTAATAAAAAGATGTGCATGATACAAATGAACAAGATTGCATTTCATGTACACTTCGATAATGCTACTTTGCTTTGAATTCCTACCATAGGGGAGAAACCGTACGAATGTGAGTTCTGTGGACGCGTCTTCTCACAGAGTGCTAGCCGAAACACCCATAAACGGCGCCACCATGGTACACTGACAGACAGCAAGATCTCACCCATCCTAGATGGCGATAATGATGTTGTCAATGAGAAGCTTGTGTCCAAGGGACGTGGTAGCAGTCATACCAATAAGAAGTCTCGGTTCAGTATAGGTATGTTTAAGGTCAAGACACTATGAACATGACTGACAAAGAAAGCGGACAATATATACAGTTCCTCAGGTAGACAAAGGAACATCCCTTCACTGCTATTATGTAAAAATGTGAATATGCATGTGACACCTGTTCTACACATTTTTACACAATAGCAGTGAAGGGATGTTCCTTTGTCTACCTGAAGAACTGTATATTTTGTCCGCTTTCTTTGTCAGTCATTTTCATAGTGAGAGATTGTGTTTTTCACTTTGAATGCACTCTTCCGCAAGGAAAAGAGCATATGAAAAGGGGGGGGGGATTTTGTAGTGCTCAGAGCAGATAAGCTTGTCCTAAGATTGTATTTCTTGAGCATTGAAATATTCCTGGGCAAGTTTTAATGGCATTTTTTACGTTTGGCGTTACTATATCCCCTCCGACTTCGTCTGCAAGGCGATAATGATAATAATCTGGTTTTACATAGCATTTAATTTGAAATATTGTCTCTAAGCGCTTTACAGATATTAACCCTGTAATTGGATTCATTCCGATATGAAATTTGATGAATCATATTTTTCATCCCATTGACTCCATGTTACAAAGTTTTTGAGCTAATGGGCAAACACAGGACTCATCACTGATGATGGGTCTAGTGCATATGGACCCTTAATTTAACCCTTACTGTACTGGGCTATTTTGAGCACCTCACTGACTGGGGGGGGGGGGAATACATCAAGTTACTTTGAGAAACATATAAAAGCAATTTGATATCAATTCATATCTTCACATTTCTACTTATACATGAATATATGCAATTATAGCACTTGTTTGATGACATGCGCATACTAATTGTTATGTAACACCTTACAGGTATATCCAATTTCGACGAAAATGGTATCAAAATGTGCGTAAGTCTTGAGGGAAAAAAGTCAAAAAATGACAATTCAAAATTTGAGGGGGGGGGGGGGCCCAGTACAGTAAAGGTTAAGACTAGACACCCTAGACACATGCGTACCAATGTTAACAATTTTAATCTTTCAAATAAATGTGTTCTCTTTCTTCAAGAACGTCTAAAAGAGGATGCAGCCAAGAGTCCGATAAGTGATTCTATAGCTGGCATAGATTCCAGTGAAGTCCCTTCTGTAGCAGCAACCTGCAGTAGTGATCAAGAGTCTGATGACATCTCACTTTCCCATTCACTCTTACCAGGTGACTTTCATGTAAATTATTTCTGTGTCTTGTTGTATTGTGCCTTGTACAGTGAGTTACTGTCTGGAATACCACCAATAGAACAGTTAACCCCTAAAGGTCAACTTTCACATGGACATCAGGGGGCCGTTTCTCGAAACCAACTCCATGACAGTCATATCTTTGTCAGCGACCTACGGAGATGTCATGAAGTGGATAAACCGTTTCACAAAGCCATGACAGACATGATATCGATATATCGCGATACTAGCAGCTTAAGAACATAGTCTTTGTCACAATCCATTTGATTTATCAAGAATAACCCAAAACAAGTTTTGGGGCTAAAATTGTTCAAAAAGAAATATATACATATAAATTCTCCTAAAATAAATAATAAATAGTGTCATTATCAAATGTAGATCCCCAAACGATTTGCATATTTCTGTAAAGATTCTTAAATTGAAGAAAAACCGGTGAGTGTTTTTTTTTTGACAGTCGAATGAAAAGTTAGTTGAAGGATACCGTAATGTGATAGTTTATCAATACGTACTTTTTGGTTTATTGTGACGAGGAATTTTAGGCAAAATACCTTTTCTTAGCCAGTTTTTATTCTAGGGTCTCATAAATACTCGTTATATAATTGATTTGATATTGAAAATATAATTTGGAAGAAGTAATTAGAGAGGGAATAATAATGCACATAGGCCCCAAAGGTATGATGGAAAAGACTATGGATCGACTATGGAAAAAAGTGTGTAACATTCTTATCTCTCTTATTTATAGGTTATAGTTTAATGATTTGTGATTTAATGTTTATATTCAGCTTTTTAAAATTTCTGTATAATTTGTATTATCACTTTTTTACATTTGCATTTCGCATCCCAGAGAATTACGTACCGAACTCGTCTATATTTTTCTCAAAATGATAGTGAAACTAATCGTACATTTTGCGGCCCATGGAATGGCAACAAACTGACTTGTGATGGCGCTTTACAGCAATTAAAAAGATGTGACAACTCGCTTGTCGCGGAAGTTGTCGCTCATCTTGGCAAAGACGGCTTTGTGAAACACTTAGCTGACAAGTTGCGTGACAGTGGCGAGATGTCGTTGATCTTGTAGTTATGACGGTTTCGAGAAATCCCCAGAATTTTCTTTTTATAGATTTGTGTTATTTTGTGTACCGGTATTGCGGCACAGTGATTTTTGTTGTTGATCCCGAAAAAATAACCCTTGATGACAATTATGTAAGGGCCAACATTAATTAATAGTTCAATCCAAAACATATAACCTTATATTTTTTTGTAAGGTGAATGATGTATCAAATATTATATACCTCACTTAAGTAATCCAGCAATCTGATTGGTCGAAATTGCATTCATAAACTTTAACTGTTCCCGAAAATTCCCGGTAACCATGATTAAAAAACAGTTAAAAATCCCAATAACCATGGTTATTGGGAAAATAGGTCAGTCTCCATGGTTACCCCATAGGTTTACATGTTAAAAAATGGTCTGAGCGATCGAGGATACCGTACGTGTGCGAAGAATTGGTCGGTAATTTCAATACAATTGAATCTCGATCGATCTTACCGACAATTTTATCTTGCATTGTTGACATGAAGACGAAAATAAACTTCCAAAAACAAAAAAACAACATCTGCCGATAGATCTTGATCTAAGTTCGTGCTAATATGCATTGCAAAAGTAAAAGAAGGGCCCGTTTAATGGAGCAGCGGCGAAGCATCGACCACGCGAAGCCGTTTTCAATCCATTTTAATGTATATATTAGAAAAAACTGCTATATATAGTGACAGAGCGCGCTGACTATAGCCACATCACCTTTTGTACGCAAGAGATTGAATCCCATCTTCGACAAAAGTTTTTTTTTTTTTTTTTTGGCATATAAAAGTATTAATGACTGCTTTAATATTCAAGAAATAGTTGTTTTTATACGCTCTCGGGAAGGTTACAATTGGGCTATTGCCCTCGGCATGCCTCGGGTAATAGCACAATTCTAACCTTCCCTTGAGCGTATAAAAACAACTATTTCTCTCAAAGCAGTCATTAATACTATAATAATATCATCACCAGAAATGTTGAAGATATAATCAATAAATGAACTGTTTTTGAGTCGAAAATGGCGCGAGTATATTACTAGGGGGATCTCTCGGGGAGATCCATGCCAGTAGAAAACTACTAACATGGAACTGTGACAACAGGACCAGATATACAGCTTGAATCAACCCCCCAAATATACCACTACCCAATTTGACCCCCCCGGCCGGCCAACTGATGATCTGGCCCTGGTCACATCAAGTACAGCTGCAGTCTCCTCAATATATACCTTACCAACAGATAAAGAGTTTTTATGACAGTTAGTACAACTTATCCCCTCCTCACCAACATTTCTTGTGACTTATGCATAAACATGAAGAGCTGATAAATATTCATTGCCTGAACAATTGATTTCTCTTGATAGCTCTAACAATCACTGTGTGGGTAGATAAAAGATTTTCAGCTGTTCCTCTATTTAAATACTCTATGAATGATACTGACAAGACTTGGGCATGCATGATTTGGCAATGGCATTTAAATGTCTTGAAGTCTACACAATAGAGCAAGGTGTTTCATTGTTATGGAAATCCTCTGCTACTGGAGTGAAATGCATGAATCGACCATCTCTACATTTTAAAGCAACTGTTTCTTGCATACAATGGCTATTGTTATGCTAGGAAAACTGAGACAAGCTTTATCTAATGCATCTTATATCCAGCAAAACTTGGGACTTGGTAACATTGTTCAGATGAGAGAAAATGGTGCTAAAGTAGTGACTTCAATGCTAGAACAATTAAAGATAACCTGAAAGTTGAGTAAAAACAGACCATTATTAAAGGCTAAGTCTAGGCGTTGTGGCGTGCGCCTGTAATCCAGCTAAAAGTGGAAGTTACAAACTGATTCAGCCGAGGACGCAGGTTCAAAACTGAGTCACATCTTTCGGATGGTGACGTTTAAAGGTCGGTCCCCAGACGTAGATAATCAGATCTGATTAATACACGTCTGTAAAAACCCAATACACACACACACACACACAGTGACCAAGTCGGCTAAACAGGGCGGAACGCCCAAGCTAACACAAAAGACCGCGTGTGGGGCAAGCACTTAAAGGAGGATCGCTCGCCAAACAAAAATGTGACTAAGGTTAAAAACCAAACCTAGAGTGTTAAAAAGCAAAAAGGTACCAGAGCACACCAAGAGTGAAAAACTCTGAATTTTGGCGCACAGTAAATAAGCTGTATGCAGACAAGATGGCTGCTCGTGAGAGGATGATTATGTGTGCGTGCGTTCTGCGCGTGAGCTGGATGTTGGTGGGGGGGTTCCAGGTTAGTGGAGTTTCGTATTCTCAGTGGTCTCCTTTGTCTAGAGGACTAAGCAATAATAGGTAGATACATATATTTATATAGTAAATAATAAAATCAGTTCTGATTTAACTAATCCTTTTCATCTGCTCTGTTCTCAGGACTTGGTCAGGAAGATGCTTCTGTAGCAAGCTCACTGGAGAAGGCTGATTCGCAGGACGAATCATCTACAGAGTTTGTTCTTACTCAGCACTCAATCCACAGCATGGTTAGTGGATCACATCGTCATCACCATGACAATCAGGATAGTCAAGATAGCAGCCATCATCATCATCATCATCATCACGATCATCACGATCATCACGATCATCATCACAATCATCATCATAATCATCATCATAGGCATCTTCATCACCATACCAACAGTCTCCATGACCATCGAGAAGTATCATCGGCAGATGGGATTGTTTATAATCATAATGCCAGCCAGTCGCTGCTCCAATCAAACCTTGATGAGGTGGGCCCTCACCTGATGGGCGTGTCTGATGAATCAAACGTGATGGGCGTGTCCGGCAGCCATGTGATGGGCGTACCCGACAGCCATGTTATGCATGTTTCTAGTAGCCACTTAATTGGGGTTTCAGACAGCCATGTCATGAGCGTGACTGACAGTCATGATGTGATGGGGGTATCGGGTAGTCATGTGATGGGTGTGTCAGATAGGCATGTTATGGGCGTGTCAGATAGTCATGTCATGGGCGTGTCTGATAGTCATGTCATGGGCGTGTCAGATAGTCATGTCATGGGCGTGTCAGATAGTCATGTCATGGGCGTGTCTGATAGTCATGTCATGGGTGTGTCAGATAGTCATGTCATGGGTGTGTCAGATAGTGACCATGTGATAGGAGTCTCTGATGACCCCCCATCAGTAAGTGAGGGCCTACAGTACCCTGAAGACATATGGGGTGGTCAAGAGCATATGAGTGAAAACATTATGGAATGTTCTTGACGTATGCCTGTATCTAATTGCCATTCATTTATCAAAACTTATTGAACAGTAACATTTTGTACAGATTTGTTAGTCATTGAGTGCCACATGATTTTTACTCTGAGCTGGTACCTGACCTCTGAAGTATTAATTTTTGCATATACATGTAGTTAGGATCAAAATGGATGAGGTAATGATCATGGGCTAGTAATAATTATTTATATTTGATATATGCCACACAGTGTTTGTACCTGTTACAACATTGTTAGAGTGTAGCCTGATAAGACTATCAGCCTTTTCACACACAGCTAAAATTCTATAAACATGATTAGTTTAAAGGGCTTTAAACTTATCAGCTGTACATACGACATCATTCACACACAGATCGTTAATCGTTTCGTGATTAACTACTGCTCTTAAAATGCGCAGTAGTGCCATTGTGCATTGAAGGTCATGTCATATCAAACAGCGCACGCTCCATCCAGTTTAAACACGTTTAAACACAAATAACCAAAAATAACCAATTTAAACGATTTAAATGATTTAAACTATTCACCTCTAGATACAATGAATTTTAGCTGTGTGTGAAAAGGCTGTATGTTTCTTTCCCGTGGCCTGACTCTGGGGCAATCTAGTATAATATGACTACGGACGATGTGACCGCAGCAATCATGACCATGTAGAGATTAAGTCGCTGCCTACAGTTAATCAAGTCCATGGTTTACTTGCAGTTCTCCAAAAGAAGATGTAGATGGTGTAAACCAGTATTTGCCAAGCAACACTCCCTTTAATACAACACAAACATGGCCTCTTTTCTATTGTCCATCCCTGATACTTTAAAAAGGGTAACTAACTCCCTCATAAAATTATGGTAACACTATGAAAATGGCAGACAAAGAAAGCGGACAAAATATACAGTTCCTCAGGTAGACAAAGGAACATATCCCTCACTGCCATTATGTAAAAATGTGTCGAACAGGTGAATATGCATGTGACACCTGTTCCACACATTTTTACATAAAAGCAGTGAAGGGATGTTCCTTTGTCTACCTGAGGAACTGTATATTTTGTCCGCTTTCATTGTCTGTCATGTTCATAGTGTAAGTTGAATGCTATTCATACTTGATATTTATATATTATATGTTGTGAAATTGGACAAAACTCATGGATGCACTTTTTTTTCCTAGATAAAAGGTTACTGTGTGTGATGCTATTTGTACAGTGAATTAAAATTATGATAAATGTTAATCTACATGTGGGATGTTGGATTGAAGAAGGGAATATTTAGCTCCTTGTTCATGTACAGTTAACTACTAAATTATCCATACCCCCTTGTAAATTTAATGTTTTGGATATTTATTTTATTTTTTTAACTCAAGAATGAAAGGTGGACTGGTAGAATAAGGGTCTTTATTGAACACTTTTAGATGTAAGCTTTAATATGTCACATTCTCAAGAAACATTAATTGGGACAATGGTTTTCACACTTACAAAAATACATTACTTGGTATAACTTGTGAATAATTTAGTCGTTAACCGTACATGTACATCTCATTATACATATATATATATATATATATATGCTGTTCCTTTTAAGTTGTATAAGTGACTATTAATACTACTTTCATTAGAAATCTGTTACCGTAGAGATGTTTACATGCAAAAAATATTCAATTTGGATATGATCGTCGTTTTGCTTCTATGAAGCTAGATCAGTAAGAATAAGGGGATAGAGCTTTGTGTGCTGTGAAATTTTTATTTACATGCCTCTTTTCTTTTCATAAAAAGTGGTGCTTAAAGCAGTATTGTCTGCTGAGAGCAAGAAGGGCATTAACTCACATCCTTTTAGATAGAGTTAATGTTCTTCTGACTTTCAGCAGATGATGTTATGTTTGGCTGTCAGTTCATCGGGTGTAAATGTACTCCAGAGGGCAGCATGGTATGATACTGGTACAAGTTCACCGACATCCTGTTGAAATGATGTAATCAATTAACTTGGGTTTTCAGTGAGATTTTTGGCGAACTTGAACATCTAATGGTTTCATGACCACTGTGAGATTTGATTACTGAAGGGCCGCTGGGTGGACGTGAACAATAAATAATAATTATGAGATTTTGATTAAAAGTACTCTCTGAAGTCGAATTACGGCATCAATGGGGATGCGGGCATGCATGACCTCATCCCTTACTCACACAAAATTGTAGGGTCTACCTATTAATTAAAATGTTGTTATTATTATCAATCGGGTCTTCCCAGCTCCTTAACAATGATCAGTGTAATCCTTGCAGTAAACCTGAACGGAAATGGACATTCAAGGCAGCTTTCCATCTAATAGATTAGGAAATACAGTCAAACCTGTCTACAGCGACCGCCCAAGGGAAATACAAAAAGTGGTCTTTGTAGACAGGTTCCTTTAGTACATGTTTCAATGAGAAGCCATTTTCAAGGGAATTGAAAAATGTGCTTGTTGTAGACAGGTGGTCACCAAAGCAGGTTTGACTGTATCTAAATCAATTAACTTGTGTTTGATTTCTACTTATACTTTTTGTAAGGAGGCATTTGTATCTACATGGTAGGTTATTTTGTTTTACCCAACTCCTAAGAAAGCATGTGCTTGTAAGTAAGCAACCAGGGGACAGACGTCTTTAAGTCCTCTACGAAGGACTGGTTAATGAGGACTAATGCCTTACCCAAAGGCACTAGAACATCGAGTTGGTTTCGAACCTGGGACATCCCACTGAGCCATCACGCCTCCATACATGCTCGACTGCTAGACATACGTTCGTACTATGTAGCTTTTGTATGTAATTTATATATCATGTTTGTTTGATTCCTGCTCACCTTGCCATATTTATTTTGTTTAATACGACATTCAGTTTAACTCATGTTTAATTTTTCAATTCAGGTTTATTATGTATTTGATTTTTCTTCATTTTTTTTTAATAGCTGAATTACGGTTAATACCTTTTGTGTTTATGACTTGAAGTTATAGATGTAGCTCCATTTTCTGACAAGTGTAGCAAAGTCTGCAAGTTTTTATACCCTTTTCCTTATCTTTATTCAATTGTTAGAAATTGTTTTTCTGTATAAATAAGACATGCATATACATGTACTACATGAGGTATAGTTCTTCTTGTATTGATCAGTGTATAGTGGAATTGTAAAAGATCTTGTAAAAGATGTTGGCAACTCAGATCATTGCCAACCCCTTTAAACCATCAAAGGTTACTTACTGGCTGTACAATTGTATAGCTCGGTAAAGGATGTAAATTGCACCTTCTTTTGTGCTGGTCTCACTCACAGAATTCATATTTCAAAATTTATTGTGCAACTGAATTATTTTGGACAATTTAAGATTTAAGAAAATTGAAAAGTTATGACGGAAAACCTACCATCCCCTCCCTCCCCCCTCCCCCCTCCCCCCTCCCCCTCCCCTTCCCCCTCCCCCTCCCCTTCCCCTTCAGCCAATTCGATTGCCCAACCCCACCATCCTATTTAAGATGGTGTCATGGCATTCACCTTTTCAATATACTTTTATTTATTACATGCATTGGACCAGTTCCCTACATTAACAGCATTAGAATGGGGGTGATCCATGCAATTTTCCCGTTATTATCCTTGACACGGTGATCATGTGATACGCTCTCGACCATTCATTTGTCTGTATCTATGGGTGTCATGTTACGACTGCTCACAATGGACCTTGAACTGTAGATAGTTTTAGTGGGTGAAGGAAGAGGTCGGAAAAAAGAGAGCCGATGTTCAAGGTAGAAATAAATAATAGTCATTTATTAAACATTTTGTATAACGTAGGTAATGTATGAAGGTTCAAGTGTCGTGTACAGTGTAAATAAGGAAGGATATATATTACTTTATGCATATTGACATGTCCAGGGTAATAGATAGGCTGCTACCTGTGCAATGTGTTAAATGAAATATCCATGTACGTATGTACCTAGTATATAACAGCCCACTGACAGACTGTAATCATATCATTAGATATATAGTGAATGTCAGATGACATTTAGAGAAGTTGATATAGATCAGTACAAGATAGGGTTGAAAATCAGCTTCTTTCATTTTTTTTCACTAACCTGTATGCCTATTTTTAAAAAGAAGAATTTTCTTCTGACATGGCAGTTATGTGTGTGGGCGAACTTTATACATTTCATGCTAGACTTGTGCATAAGTAAGTTATTACTTGTTTGTATATTTCCAACAAATATGCTGCCTAAATTGCAGAGAGCAAATGCAAGAAAGATAGGTTTGGTTGAGAGAAGCTATATACTTTAAAATTAAATGGTCTCGAAAGCCATTGATGAAAGAGGCTTTATGGCCCAAAGTAGTTTTAAAGGGTCAAGCTCATGCACTGTCCTTTACGCCGTTTTAAAGGCTCATTATGGCCCTTGATTTGGGCAATACAATGTGCAGATTTATTCTCCTTATTTAAGCAGGGCTTCCACTTAGCCTAGTTGGAGCCTCGAGTTTATGGCAAGCCGTTTTATTATTAAAACATTTCTTGATATCACGAATTACCAATGCTTTACAACTCGGCTAAGTGGGAGCCCTGCTTAACATGAAGTGATAATTGAATCATGTCTGCTTAATGTTATAAAATGGAGCATATATTAATTGACAATGAAAGTGTGAATGTATTAAATTAAAGACTGTATAAAATGAAATACATGTATTATTGCTTTTGACTCAGTTGGGAAATTCTCTCCAGCTAGCTTTCAAAACATTACCATTTTTTTGTGATTCATACACGTACTTTGTGTAAATAGATGCCTGCATATATGTTTATGTTGTTTATAGGCAGGCAGAGGTGTCAGTTGAGGTTTCACATGCATATTGAACTAATGTAGCTCAATCTATCGTGACCAAGGTATTTCATAATGCAAGTAGGATCATCTTATTTGGGCAATAACTAAGAAGGAAACCATTTCTTCTAGACAGGGGGTTGAACGAGTCTCATCTATTTTATAGGGGGAGGGGTTCAGTGGTGGTTATGAAATAGTGTAGTCAATTCATGCAGTGTAAATGCGAGGTATATTGACTAAAGGAAATACATTTGTGGATAAAAACAATTCTTAATTTGAATTTAATTTTTAAGGCCAAACAAAATCTCGTTCCTCATCCAGATGGTGATCACCACCCACCCCCCCCCCCCCCCAAAAAAAAAAAAATTTGAAGCTCACTAGAAGTCGATTTTATTTGGCCCTAATATTAATATATTCTTGAACGATTACAATTAATCGTACTTGTTATACAGTGCGTCCCAAACTGAGAATTATCACAACTTAATGCATATTTCATGCACGAGTGATTAAAAAGTATCTGAATTTCAAATTAGAAAAAAACATTTCCAGAAAGTTTTTTAATAAAGTTATGAAAATGCAAGCATTACTTTTCTCATACGAGGTGTCATACGAAAGGGCAGAAAATAACCTTTCGTTGAAATACTGTTTTGTCAAATGACTTTTTGGTACCCTTCAAATCAATTCAATATCTGGGACGCACTGCATCACCAGCATACACACACACGAATACATCCACTCTTTTTACTTTGTTCACATCCGATTCGATTCATCACCATCCTTCTCATAATAACACGTACAAATGAGACAATAATAACATATTTCTGTTTAATATCTTTTTATTAGGCCAAAAGTATTGCTGCCATTGAAAACGGCAAAATTTGAACAAGATTTTTTTATTTTTTTTAAACATTTGTTTGGGGAAAGGGGAACCGTTTGACTGCCAAATAGCTGCATCCCAGCAGTGAAAAAACCTGGGGATAAAAGCCAGGAAAAACTGCCAAGATGCAGCGTACAGCCAACTAGTTTAAGAGAGAGAGAGGATGAAGGCATTGCTGCCACATTATACAGAGTAAGGAGTGTGGACGTAAGAATAAGCCTGTGAAAATACGACAACAATAACTGCAACTAAATTTCGCAAATCTACCATTGGAGGCTTTGTCACAATTTAAACAGAAAATCACAAGATTGAGAAGAAAAAATGAACCCTATGCATGAGCCTTACAGCAAACTCATAATTCGAGTGAAAACAATTTGGATTAAAAAGTCGGCAGATTCGAAGAGTGAACATGTGTAGCCATAACAAAATCAAAATCATAAAATAAACTGAGAACAGAGAGAATCCAAAACTTCCATCATAATCTTAATTTTCCTAAAGCGATTTGAATATCTTTTTTTTTTCCCTTTCAATGGGTTTCAAATAGACAGGTACGATGATGCTAGTACAGAACTATGCATATTATAAATACTGAGTGATAAAGTATACATGAAATATTCCATTTCATTGGCATGGCTATAAAAAATAAAATCTTTGTTTTCATATACCGGTTGAAGGAAATGGTTTTACATCCTTGAGAGCAATGTATTTCAAAACTTTTTGGTTTTTGTAACTAAAAATCTTGTAAGTATCCTAAACACAGAAATCGTTAAACAGAAAATAGATTTGTAATTTTTGACAATTGGAAAAAATTATTGTACAATAGAGAAATTGTCAGTTTCTTTTGTTTCAATAGTTAATTGGATCCTATGCAGTAAATTATTCAAATTATTTAGAAATACTGAGCTTCACAGACAAGTTGTTGTTTAACAATAAAATAACAAAATGTTTTAAAGAGGGTGTTTCTATTCCTTTCCACTTTTAAAATGTTATACAGGGAAATGTATTTCAGCAATTTTGTATTCGTATAACAGATTCTTTCAAAAAAATATGTTTGTCTTACGATTCAGAAATCAAGTTTGTACCTTTACCTTTTTTTTCTTATCAGAACAGACAAGTTATTTACACACAATAGATTTCGGGCATGTATAACAATTGGAAAAATATTGAGAAAAAAAAGACTTTTTTCCGACACTAATATGCAACACGGTTTTGTTCGTAAATGTATACAGTATCATTGTAAATCTGAACAGTTTTTTTTTTTCTTACATTTTGTCTCTAAGTAAACTTAATTCTGAAAGTATCTTAAACACAAAAAATCATTTAACAGAATGGAAAAGTTATTTATTATTATTATATTGTTGACACTCATATGCTTTGCAAATTTATATAGTATCATTTGTAAATTTGTTTCGATAATTAATCGGATCCTATGCAATAAATTACTCAGAAATACAAAGCTTCACAGCCAATAATTTTTTCAATTTTTTTAAAGAAATGTTGTTTTTTTCCTTTCCACTTTCAAAATGTCAACACCCTAACAGGGCTATGTATTTCATAACTTTTGGTCATCAATGAAACCATTGTGGAACCCATCATATAACAGATCCTTTCAAAAAATATGTTTGTCTTGCGATTCAGAAATCAAATTCGTACTTGTACTTTTTTTTCTTACATTTTGTCTTGGGAGTAAACTTTAAATTATGAAAGTATCCTAAACACAGAAATCATTTAACAGAATGGACAAGTTATTTACGCACAATAGATTTTGGGCATGTATAACAATTGGAAAAACAATTAGAAAATAATGAGGAAAAAAAAGACTTTCCTTTTCCGACACTAATATGCAATACAGTTCCGTTCGTAAATGTATACAGTATCATTGAAAATTTGAACATTTTTTTTTTTCTTACATTTTGTCTTGGAGTTGACTTAAAATTCTGAAAGTATCCTAAACACAATTATTGAGGCATGTCCAACTTCTTACAAATAGAAAAAAAATATTGAACAAATAAAAATGAAAAAACCTTTGATAAAAGAAATTTATATAGTATCATTTGTAAATTTATTTTGATAATTAATTGGCTCCTATGCAATGAATTACACAGTCAATAATAAAGAAAATGTTGGTTTTTTTCCTTTCCACTTTCAAAATGTCAACACCCTAACAGGGCAATGTATTTCATAACTTTTGGTCATCAATGAAACCTTTGTGGAACCCATCATATAACAGATCCTTTCAAAAAATATGTTTGTCTTGCGATTCAGAAATCAAATTCGTATTTGTACCTTTTTTTTTCTTTCATTTTGTCTTGGGAGTAAACTTTAAAATCTGAAAGTATCCTAAACACAGAAATCATTTAACAGAATAGAAAAGTTATTTATTATTATTATATTGTTATCCGACACTAATATGCTTTGCAACACGGTTTTATTTGTAAATTTATATAGTATCATTTGTAAATTTGTTTTGATAATTAATCGGATCCTATGCAATGGATTACTCAGAAATACCAAGCTTTACATGCAGCCAATAATTTTTTTTAAAATGTTTTTCTTCCTTTCCACTTTCAAAATGTCAACACCCTAACAGGGCTATGTATTTCATAACTTTTGGTCATCAATGAAACCATTGTGGAACCCATCATATAACAGATCCTTTCAAAAAATATGTTTGTCTTGCGATTCAGAAATCAAATTCGTACTTGTACTTTTTTTTCTTACATTTTGTCTTGGGAGTAAACTTTAAATTCTGAAAGTATCCTAAAAACAGAAATCATTTAACAGAATGGACAAGTTATTTACACACAATAGATTTTGGGCATGTATAACAATTGGAAAAACAATTGGAAAAATGAGAAGAAAAAAGACTTTCCTTTTCCGACACTAATATGCAACACGGTTTTGTTCGTAAATGTATACAGTATCATTGAAAATTTAAACATTTTTTTTCTTCTTACATTTTGTCTTGACTTAAAATTCTGAAAGTATCCTAAACACAATTATTGAGGCATGTCCAACTTAATTCTTACAAATAGAAACAAAATATTGAACAATAAAAATGAAAAAACCTTTGATAAAAGAAATTTATATAGTATCATTTGTAAATTTGTTTTGATAATTAATCGGGTCCTATGCAATGAATTACAGTCAATAATTTTTTTTTAGTTCGTACTTTTAACTTTGTTTTTTAAACAGAGAAATCATTTAACAGAAAGTTATTTACACACAATAGATTTCGGACATGTATAACAGTTGGAAAAATATTGAGAAAAAACCTGAAATGTTAATTTCTTGAATCATATGCAGTTAATTATTCAGAAATATTGAGCTTCACAGCAAAGTTGTGGTTTAACAATAGATTACCCTTTTTTATCTTTAATTTAAAAATACCAAATATTACTGAAGATCTATGTTCTATGTACAAAAAACTTATTTCTTCAAACTATTTTCTTTCTCTGAATTTGTTTACATTCATTCCTTCCTATGCAGACAACTTCATTGGTTATTTTACACTTATGGATTTTAAAAAAAGTATTATATTCTTCACAATGGAAAAAATTAAAGTGGTCTAATTTTTCTCTACAAACAATAAAGATTAAAAATAGTAGTTAAAAAACATTAATATTCTTATAGCTGGTGATGTAATAAATATTTGTTTTGAAAACAAAATACCTCTTCATATACCTAACCTCCTTTGTATCTAACATGAACAATATTTCTCTTTTTACCTTGGTTTTTTTTTTTTTTTTCGTTTACCTTCATCAGACTTTTTCTTCTTTTTCTTTTTTTTTTACCTTATCAGGCATTTTCTTCCTTTTTTTTTCTTTCTTTCTTTTTTTTTTTTTACCTCATCAGGCATTTTTTTTTTCTTTCTTTTTTTTTTTTTTTTACCTCATCAGGCATTTTTTTTCTTCACCTTATCAGGCATTTTCTTCTTCTTTTTTTTTTACCTCATCAGGTATTTTTTCTTTTCAGGCATCTGAACAATCTTTCCTAATACATTGCAATTAACACAGAAATATTTAAATCTCAATAACATATAAAAAATCGATCATTTGTACACATTCTTGTAAAGAATACTCATGCTTGTTCCTACCACAAGGTTTTCTGTATATTTGAATTTCTAATGATAAAATGATAGCCCTTACATTCATTTTTTTTTTTTTTTTCCTTTAGTGACAAGTAAATATTTTAAATTTCTTTCAAATTAATTTTAAAAAGATTTCCCTGATGAAAACTTCTTAAAATAAATAAATAAATAAATCTTGCTTAAGATAAATCCACAACAAGAACATTACTTTGCATATGTATCACTTTATCTGTAGTTCCTATTTTTTGAGAAGAAAAATATTATATGTATAGTTTTTTCATTCACTCCTCTTTGAGGATTAAAAAATTATTTGATTACAAGGCAAAGTCACTTATTAAGCATTTCCTTTTAGCATTTTATTTAAACTTTGTTTAACTCTCAAAAGATTTGGCAAAAATTTTGCTTCAATATAGAGTTTTTTAATACTTAATGATATACCTATGCTGCTCTGGTCCATATACCTTTTTATAAATTGCCATAGCAAAGTTGTTTTTGTTTTTTCTGAAACCTACCTATTTGAACACTTGTTCATAACAATTAAACACTAAAATGATTTAGTTTCGGCAACATTTCAAATAGAAAACAAACTTGTATACATTCTTATAAAGAATACTCGCACTTGTTTCTACCACAATTTCTATCCAACAGATGTTTGAAAGTTGATTTGACATTTCCTATATTGCTGGTTGGCAATTAAACATTTGTTCCCTGAAAAAGCTTGTCGCCTATTTTTCATGAGAAAATTCTGATTCTTTCAAAAAGTATGACACATCAGTTTACCTACAAAAAAAGTAGTGAAAAAGTATTGGTTTTCAACCTACATGTATTTTTTGTGTATTTTTTAATGTTTATTAGCTTGCGGTACTAAGGTTTTTGTTCCTGCAATATCGGAATCTTGGTCTTAATTTCAGATCAGTTACTGTTAAGGCAAAAAAAAATATCCTTCATACATTAACTTGTACTCAAATTCTCACCTAATATCAATGTATTGCAAGTCCCAGGATTTTAAAGTGTAAAATATATCAAATTCCATAACTTCATAACACGCACACATAACGAAAATTGCTCAGAAATGAGCACAATTGAACAGAATAGCAACAAACTTTTTTGATGGGCAATTCTACATGGGCAATAATTCTACATTTCTTTTTGCATATATTTTAACGCTGTAGAGTCAGCAGATACCTTGCAATCATGTGGACATTTTCAGAATGAAGTTCTTCCACACACAAGGCCCAAAGAATTTAAAACAAAAGCAGCCGGAGTAAAAGGATGGTGAGCTCTAAAATGTGTACATCAATATTCAAATAAGGAATGCACAGATATTTTCCAATGGAGAATTGCCAATGTTAAAGTTTCTAAAATAATCATGTTTCCTCTAGTCGACATTGTGATTTGACCACTAAATCCCGCTGGTGCGCCCTTGACCCATCCCTGCAAAGACTTTAGCACATCAAAGACCCGCTGTTACCATCTAGACACAACTTTTGCTTCCCAGACACCGCCGTCGCTCCCTGAACCCGCCACAGCTCCCTGGACACCGTCGCCGCTCCCTGGAATCCCGAAAGACCAAGAACCCCTACAAGACCCCGCCTCCTGGACACCGTCGCCGCTCCCTGGACCCCGCCTCCCGCCTCCTGGACACCGTCGCCACTCCCTGGACACCGTCGCTGCTCCCTGGACACCGTCGCCGCTCCCTGGAATCCCGAAAGACCAAGAACCCCTACAAGACCCCGCCTCCTGGACACCGTCGCACCTCCCTGGAATCCGAGAGACCAAGAACCCCCACAGGACACCGTCGCCGCTTCTGGAATCCGAGAGACCAAGAACCCCCAGAGCTCCCTGGATGCCACCCGAGGCTAGTTGCCTGGACACCGACATCAAGATGCAAGAACCACCTACACACCCTTGGACCAGTCAAAGCTCCCTCAGACCCTCTCCGTTCCCACCGTCCTGGACAGGTGAAGACCCTGGACCCTCCTTCCCCCAAGAATAGCTCCCTCAGACCCTTGGAGATGGACCCTAGTGGTGTGCTAACCCAGACCTCTCCCATGTTGACAAGGCACCTTTCTTCGACCCGTCCTGGAAAGGTGAACACCTCAGACCCTCCTTCCCCAAGAATAGCTCCCTCAGACCCTTGGAGATGGACCCATTGGTGTGCTAACCCAGACCTCTCCTATGTCGACAAGGCTCCCTCCTTCACCCCTGGACTCCCCTTGGTCAAGGTAGCAGTGGAGACTTGGAAGGTACCCCCAGAGTGAGCTAGTGTAGTCCCTCTCAGGCTCAGCACTTGCTTACACGGATCTCTCCCTCTACAGCTCAACAAGCTTGCATGGGCCACGCAATACTCTCACTTCTCTCGTGTCAGTCCTTGATACATGGATGAGCTCATACCAGAGTAGTTGGTGTGGCACTCTTTTAAGGGATTGGTAGAAACTAATGCTGGGATATGTTTGCTCTGTATGGACAAAAAGGTTTCTATGCACAGAGAAAACATGCACAAACATACAACTCTTTCAATATGTTTACCATTTTAACTTAATTTAAATTACGATCACATCAAAGTGTCACCTGAAACCCCATAGACTCCTTCCTCACTCACGACCATGTGAAACTCGTTACAGCACGCAGACAGCATCCAATTACAGATCAACCAGGCAAAACAGCATGGAGAAATCTTGTGCACCACTGGAACTGATACTGGTTCAGAATGACAGAGCTTCCTCTCCAGAGAATGTATATGTTCTAATACAGAAACAATACTTAGTGGGGGAAAAAAGGCCTTTTTTTTCGAAATGCACATACATGCCAGAAATTGGACATTCCACAAATTATTTCAAAAGATAATTCCGGATAAGTTGATTTTGTAGTGTCATAAAAGACTTAATATCACGTCTCAGTTTGCAATTTTAGTGTAAAGCGAACAATGTCAGTTATGAAATGGACATCACAATTTTACATTCATTTTTTTTTTTTACAAGCACAAAGCTTACAATTTTCTTGCACCGTGTTGCAGGATAGAAGCAAGCAGTCCACGTTTACTTTAAGGCAGGCTATACTCTTCATCTACATTGAATTTCCAGGAATCAGGGGCATACCAAGACCAGTCAACACTCTTCTCCATCACGAAGCACTCCTCGTTAGCACATACTCTCCAATACTCCAATACAAATGCTGCGTAGCAAATAGAAGAAACATTCGAGGGGGAAAAGAAACATACACATTCCACACAGTTAACATAAGGCCCCAGCGCATGGGCAGATTGTAACCTTGTCGTGCTCAACAGAATTCAAGAGTGGCATGATTTATTTTCTTCAGTGCTCATAACTTCAGTCAAAGTGCATTTTTCAAATTGAAAGGTTTAGTTTAATTTAGTTTAATTTAGATGATTATTTAACAAGAGAACAGCAGATTTTTTTTTTTTATACATATGTGAATAAACAAAATATTTGAATTACACATTGTCACTTTAAAAAAAAAAGGAATCTGAAATGATAAGGACCACAAATACCACTTTACGTTAGATGGGTGTCTGGCAGTGCGCTACTTATATGAAGGAGGTTGTCTTTGTCAGGTGCAAGCAGTTATGGAGATGTCTTTAAAAGAGTATCAAACAAGTGTGATGGTAGAATAGGTTGCATGATGCATGACACAAGTTGTGACGAGTCAACCCTGCTAGTATGTCAGAGAAAGAAAAGGGAACAGGGAAAAGGAAAAAAGGAGAGAAAAAAAACCCTAATCCTACCCAAAAAACATGAATTGCTAGTACAAAATATTAAAGTATGACCAAGCGGCAATTTTAAAAAACCAAACATAAAAACTATGTTGAGATGTTAAATGAACTGAAAATTAGATGATTCTTCAAGAAAAGTTATTTTAAAACGGAATACAAGTTCACTTCACGCTATAGTTCGAGGTAATGTAAAAAGTACCATAACAGAATAGTGTACATCAAACAACAATGTAGGATAACGGGCAGATGATTATTTTGATTATTTTGTAAAATCACAGAAAACAAAAAAATGGTATTGAAATTATAATCAAATGACCGGATTAAGATACCATACCAGGATAGTGTATGTTAAACGGCAATACAAGTATAGGCTGAAGGTGATCGGTAGATACACGTAGCTTGATGGTAATCGCAGTACAGAGTTGCATGGGTGCAAAACATGTAAAGGCATCTATCTCTAGCAGAAACAAAGATGGAGGTAGACAACAACATATTAAACCCTACATGGGGTTAACCCCCAAAATTTGTATACAAGTGGTGCTTTTACATGAAGTATGTAAAAAATAAAATTAGAAAGCTTTGACAAGAAATCCCCAATATGCAGTAACTTTCATGCATGGGTCTTTACAAGTTACAGTTACATAGTAGTTTAGTGCACCAAAAAAACAATGTCATGAGTTAAAAAAACTTTCACCATTCTATGAATGCTTAAATCATATTATAATTAGTTATTTTGTGTACAAAATCTTCAAATTTGCCATAGCAGAAATGTTATATAGAAGCGTCATGAAGAAGCACTCGTGCACATTTAATGACAAGAACACACTTCCCTAATTAAATGTTGTTTAAATAATTCTTTTCATGCAGCCATTTTCTAATTCATTACACTATAACCACTAATAGAACAGATGTACTAGTCACTCTTGATACAAGGTTTCTCACATACATGTCTGCCAAACGTTACAGAAATGGG